GTAAATCGCCATTTATTTATTACAGATGATAGCAGTCTGTCTAATTTGGTTCTTAATTAAATCTATAAAATTCTTGATTGAGAATTTGGATCGACTTTATACTCACAATGTATTGTGCGTACTTAAATCCTTGACCATTTATATTATTTATAAGAATAAACTTGACTTATGACCATTCTGAAATACATGTATAAATCACAAGAAGGACTGCATCTATTCAAATGTACTTGCTAGCTATAGTACTTGCAAGAATAGATTCTTTTTTAACAAACAGTATTTTTTAGTACGACAACTTACATTTTGAAGCAAAAAAGTATGATCCGTAGGTTCTTTTTTTTTTTTTTAAAAAATTACATCATTACGCAGTGAAACTTTTATTTACGATACAATTAGAAATTAATCAGTTTCTCATTACTCAATGAGCGTATGCGAGATTGATTTGGGTTTTCAATGTAACGATGATTATTTGTCAAGTGGTGCTATATTCGTTGTTTATTATTTATCTAAAAAAAAAAAAAAGAAGACTTTCCGAAACACTTTGTCACAGGGGATCATAGAAAAATGCGATGTGTTAGTTTGCCGCTTCCCTATACATGCCCTTAGTTCAAATTTCAGCCGGTTTTTCTTCCTTCTGGGGGGATATGAGCTGAAATTCACCGCCAATTAAACAGTTCCTCGAGAAATTTCCTTGATAAATTAAATCCTGTAAAACTAAGCATGCGTATGTTACCTGCTCCTGGATATGTTTGCTGTTTTTCCACAATTATGGTATACTCGCGAAATTTATTACAGCATGTGAGAAATTTACATGATATAGGCCTACTGAGCATTTTTTTTTTTTTGTGGATCTGCTAGAAAAAAAATTCACTCAGGTTTATTCTAAATTTAAATAGTCCCTATGACTCTTTTTTTTTTTTTTTTTTTTTTGCTATGGAGAATTAAGAATTATACAGATATATCTAACATATATAACAAACAAAGAAAAATGATTTCTTTTAGTCAGTCTGGGGAATATAGTCTAGATCCGCCTACCTGCTACATGTAACGTCACAATGGTGGAAGTGACGCCTCGGTGTATGTTTTTGTGTGTTTATGTCGACAGACGAACCAAGACTACAAAGTTTAGATATGTTTTTGTGTTATTCTTCTGTAGGGATTTTTTACGGGGGGTTCAATGAAAATTGTCGCAAATGTCGAAATGGAATCCTCTTTGTTGAATGACTCGAAACAACAAATAAAAGACGAAGGAAGTGTGGGATGTGTTTTTTTTTTTGTGATATTCACTAAAATATTGCATAAATAACTGACTAAAAGGTAAATTCAATCATTGATTCAACAAATTCATGCATTTTCAGAAAAAAAGGTCGTATATAACAACGAGAATAAGTCCAAGATTTTTCTCAAATCTCAGCTTACGTGAGATGATCGAATCTCAGAGATGTTGGTGGCATGATGTTTTAGGAAAATCTCAGCTGAGGCAGAAATCTAAGATTTGAGGTTGAGATTTGAGCTGAGATTTTATACGTTGGTGGCCCCGAAGCCAAATGTTCAAAAATCTTTATGAAAACTTTTACTTGTTTTGCCTCTGATATGCCCAGGTGCAGAGAAGATTTTCAAAGAAATAATGCATTTTTTACTACAGATTCACTATATTATCAATAGAGCCCCCCCCCCCCCCCCACACACACACCTAGAAACACCAGAGCCTCTCACCCTGGGACCAGAAGTTTGCTCATCATACATGTAAGTAATCACTTTGTTTATCTGATTAACACTAAGGAGCAGACAGGATTATTTAACAGAATTAATGCATTTTCACTATATCATCAAGAGCCCCACCATTACACCAGCACATCTGACCCAGGGGTCATGCAATTCACTACTCTGGAAGAAGCAATCATGCTCATCATAACTATATGCTTAGCTTCTTTGCTTTTTAACCAGAAGCAGAAAAGAGTATTTTCAAAGAAATTTTGCTTTTTCACTATATAATCAATAGAGCCCCTCCCCCTTTTTCACCATAACCCTTGACCCTGGGGCTATGAAATTCACAATTTTGGAAGAGGCAATCTTGAATATCAAAACAATGTACTTAGTTTGTTTAAATAATACCCAGGGGCAGAGAAGAAGATTTTCAAAGAATTCATGCATTTTCACTATATAATCAATATAGCCCCGCCCTAACACCAGAACCCCTGACCCTGGGGCAATGAAATTCACAATTTTGGAAGAGGCCCTCTTCCTCATCATAACTATGTACTTAGTTACTTTATTTAATACCCAGGAGCAGAGAAGAAGATTTTCAAAGAATTAATGCATTTTCACTATATAATCAATAGAGCCCCGCCCTAACACCAGAACCCCTGACCCTGGAGCCATGAAATTCAAAATTTTGGAAGAGGCCCTCTTCCTCATCATAACTATGTACTTAGTTACTTTATTTAATACCCAGGAGCAGAGAAGAAGATTTTCAAAGAATTAATGCATTTTCACTATATAATCAATAGAGCCCCGCCCTAACACCAGAACCCCTGACCCTGGGGCCATGAAATTCACAATTTTGGAAGAGGCAGTCTTGCTTTTCATAACTATGTACTTTATTTAATACCCAGGAGCAGAGAATAAGATTTTCAAAGAAATAATGCACTTTCACTATATGATCTATATTGCCCCATCCTAGCACCAGAACCCCTGATCCTGGGGCCATGAATTTCAAAATTTTGGTAGAGGGCTCAATGCTTATTACAATGATGCGAACAGTTTGACTGCTTGATGTCCAGGAGTAAAGAAGAAGATTTTTAAAGATTGCATTATTTTTGGTGGTTTTAGCCCCGCCCCTCAGGCCCCAGGGGGACAGGGACCATGAAATTCACATGCAAGTCTAAACTCGACGTAATGAAGATTTAGATTTGCAAACAAGGTCATTACACTGACCATAAATTTCTCGACATGTAAAATTCTAAACAAGGCAGTAGAAAGCTCTGTATCATGGACTTAGTTGTCAGTAGGATGTCTTGGTTCAAAACAGTTACTACATAGAAGATACTCTTGCCGTTGCAAAATTAGTTGAAAGACGTAGACACCATCTGCAATTGATAATATAATGTGATTTTGTTTTCTTGCAGGACACGGCAATACTTTTATTCTTCTCATGTAGAAGTTTGCACATGAATTCTCCTTCATTAGAACATACAATAATAGGTCGGCAAATTAATGATCACAGTTTTTGGAAATGCGAATTATGTAAAACACATTGTTTGAAGGCTTTCATACCATCTGATGGTTTTGGGGTAAGAATCGTGATTTCTAATTTTCTTTAAATTTTCTACAGGTTTTTTAGAAACAAGATTTCATTAAAATCACTTCTTTAATATGGTAATTGTAGCACAGTGCTTCTTCACAGCATTTAGATATTTATCTCATGCACATTTAGAGCAATTTTTGAAATTTAAATATGGCATTCTTAAACATTTGTTACACCATTATACAATTACACAGGTATTTATATTTACTTCGAATTTTAACATGAAATTTGATTTGAGTAACATTTTTGTGGACAAGCATGGGTTTTAACAGGTCTGGACGATTTTAATATTAATTGCCATAAATGCACAGAATAAACAACATGCTAAGGCAATCTTTAAAATAATGTTTGTTTGCCCTCTCCCTTCACCCAAAGATGCTATATACCAAATTTGGTTGAAATTGGTTGAGCGGTTTCAGAGAAGAAGCTAAAAATGTTCAAATGTTAATGTACGTCGCACGACGACGGACGAAAACGGATAGCAATAGGTCACCTGAGTTACTCAGGTGACCTAAAAATATGAAGAAATTCCTCGAACTTTTGGATCAACCCTCGTACATGTCAGTCATTAAATTTATATAATATACAGTATGCATAAGGAAGACCAAATGTATTATTACTGCATTAAGGAGACCAACTACTATCCACATCTAAATCAGTATTCAACCTCTTTCACTAATAAATAAATAAAATATGAAGAAATTCAACAAACTTTTGGATCAACCCTCATACATGTCAGCCATTAAATTTATATAAAAATAAATATGCAGTATGCATAAGGAAGATCAAATGTATTATTACTGCATTGAGGAGACCAACTACTCTCCACGTGTAAATCAGTATTCAAAACGAGAGATTTTAATACCCTAGTAATTTACATGTTTAGTTACATGAACTAAATCTATTTACCTTTGTCATCACGCAAGAACTGTTTTACATTCATCCAACTTTAACAACATTATACATGCATACAGTGTATGCCATACATTAGGAAGACCAGATGCATTATTACAACATTAAAGAGACCAACTACAATGGAACAATGAGACAGTATTCCAAAATGTTCATCCCAATACCATAGTAATTTCCCTTAATTTGTTTGTATTTAGATGACCTAAATCAATTTATCTCAGCCAGAATTGGAACAAAAAAGCTAGTCACACAAGTGGCCAAACACATGAACAGACAGATGGACATGATGATTCCTATGCTTATATACAACCATGCTTATATACACCCAAAGTTGCCAAAGTAGAGCAGATGCAGTGGTTAGAGCGTCTACTCTAGAGTCGCGGAGAAAGAAGCTGATCCTTACATAGCGAGTTTGAATCCCACTGTGGAATGTGGAGACCCGTTCTTCAGATGAGACAGACGTATTAACTGAGGTCCCGTGTCACAGTAGGTGCTGGCTCGATAAAGATCCCTCAATGCTCAATGGCCGTAAGTGCTGAGTATAGGACAAAAATTTGCAGCTCTCCACCAGCAAGTGGTGGCGTCTCCATATGAGTGAAAAATTCTCAAGAGGGACGTTAAGCAACAAGCAATATACACCCAAAACTTTGTTTGCAGAATATTTTGTGATACATGCTTTACAAGTATACATATTGTTCATAAGGGAATAAAAATGCTATAATATATCATTAAGGAAAGCAACTGAAATTAAATGTGCACTTCTAATTGAACTAAACAAAATTACCCTTTGTCAGAATGTAGATTTATAAACAGGAAGGCTGTTTTTCTTCATTTTTTCCATGTCAGATTCAGACTGTTCTTCAAAAAATTCTGGCATACACCCTGTAAAAGTGAACAGTGCAGATAATAAAGAGCTTCTAAATAAACTGCATAATATTTAAAAGATCCACTTAAAAGGGATAACAAATGCATATAACTGCATCAAGGAGACCAACTGATATCCATATATATATAAATCAGTACATGTATTTTAATTGTGATATTTTAATATCCTAGTAATTTACATGTTTAGTTTCATGAAATAAATCTATTTACCTTTGTCCAATGACCAATGAGCACAAGCACTGATTTTTCCTCTTTTTTCTTAACGGAATCACCAGGGCCAGTCTGCGGTCCATATGATTCTGGCATATGTACACTCTGTAAAATGCATATTTGTACCATGTACAGGCATATGAACAATATTTCTATACTACATACATGCATCATTAAACTTAATAATCTTTTTTTCCAAAATTCATTATTCATAGTGTTTTGCTGTTAGCAAAATTCAACAAAAACTATACTGTATATACTCGCCTATAAGGTGGTCTGCCTATAAATCAGTTGTATTTTTTGAGGTTATTTTGGAGGGATTTGCTATTGACCCGCTTATAAATCGGTACAACTTTTTGCCAGAATCAATTGACAATTTCAAATCAATGCTCTGATGTTTTAACCTGGTTTCAAAATACTAATCTTTTTATGACTCACCTATAAGTTGGACATAGAGTATATACAGTACCTGCATTATACATGCATTAGGAAGACCAAATGCATTATTGCAATATTAAAGAGACCATTGCGGCAAATGAAATCAATGTATGAATTGTATTCAAAACTACGGGTGTACTAATTTGTCTGAAGTATATCGTGATATAATGTGATACACAAAGACTTGAACAGGATATGTACATATACCCACATTCCTAAATGTAACAACAGTTTAAAAATCAATAATTTTTTTTTTTTTTTTTTGCAAATTTCACTGTCTAATTTATGAAATATAAAATATTATTTAAAACCATAAAGCATAAAATGGTTGAAAGCTCATTTAATACAATAACTGACATAAATAGGATGTTTAATCTACATTTATTAATATTGTGGGTCATCACCCCATTTTTTGTGAAGGAATCGTGAAAGGCATTGTAATTCCAACTTGCTCACAGAGCAAGTTTTACACAGAGGACCAACTCTTTATTCAAAATTTAGTTTACATACTTAATTTTTTAACAAGTTTAATGGGTTTATAAAACTTTAAACTAAGTCAAAATATTTTGCTTTCTAAATATGGACAAGAAATGTTTTTTGCTTAAAATCACCTTAACTTCAGATAAAAAAAATGCACTGTGCTCATCCTCTTCAAATGCCTTGTTTGTAAATAACTGATAAAGGGTACATCTCACAAATGCTTCATTATTACAAATGTCTTACAGTAAATATAGGCATCACCACAACTCATTTCATTAGTAAGAATAAACCCTTAAGCAATGAATATAAATGCTGAAAAGTGGTGCATTGTTAGGAGTTGATCTTACTACACAAGTTTCGAGATTATCTCCATTGCACTCGGCACACCTCGGCCGATTCGTACCTCATCAAACGTTTGATGAAAGTGACGGAATCAGCCGAGGTTTGCCGAATGATCTCCATTGGTGCACTCTTTTGTTATGGAGGGAAGTTTTGTTTCCACATTAGCAGGCAGGTGGGACAGTTATTTATATATTGCATACATTACGTCATTGATATACTGTGAAACCTGTCTTATCCAACATGTTGAAGGGGAATAAAATCAATGTCAGATTAGACAGTGTGTCGGATTACCCAGTGTTGAATATTTCTGAGCATTATGATAAATGTCAGGTGACTTCATACAGAAAAAAAAAACATTTTTCGTTAGGTTTAGAGTACATGTGTATTTAATTGTCAAAGTGTGTGTGTGTGTGTGTGTTTCTTTGTTGTATAAAATATACCTTCGGCTGATTAACATTTCTTTGAGACACATCATTTGTTACAGCACTAGTAAACTCTGTAGTAATATACGATAATTTCTTTTAAACGTGCAAAACAGATGGAACTGCCAATCACTTCGAGTTGTTGCAATTTAACTTTTAGCATTTTACTTACTAACAGTAGATATTAAATATTTTGTCTACCTTCTGTAAACAGTGGTTTTATTTTTTTTTCTACACTACATTTCTCTCCGATTTTTTCTGCATTGTTAACTTCTCAAGATAGATTGGCTATTAATACCCTCTCGTGACTTTTCAAACAAATGGGACGTACCTCTATAACATTGTTATTGCGATTTAATTTTTATCAAACAACATTTACATTTTAAAATTTAATGGGTCTACTTAAAGTGGAAGTTTTTTGCTTCCTGCAAATCTTTTATGTGCACAGTCTCACTTAATTCAGTGTATATTAACCCGGAAATGAAACATTTTCTATTAGACGAGATGCTGTCTTCAAATTGTGTGTTGTCTACATGTTATACAGTAGTTTGCTGTACTCATTTTTTAGGGAGACATGACTTTAAAGGACTCTGACTGCATGTTTGATTTCAATTTCAAGCAAAAAATCTTATTTATTCTGTTAGGTAAAGGCAATCTAAATATCAGGTACTCCTTTTTATTTTCTATCGCGTGGATGCTATTTTGTCAATGCGAGAATAAAATTGATAACAACGAAGAGTACTGATTGCCTAATTTTTAAATTCAAACACAGTTCATTTATTGTTTATATAAACACCATCAAACTAATACATGTAATTAACTACTAAGTAGACCAAGCTTGTGCCCAAATGGAACTAGCGACTAATTATGGTACAAATGTATAATTATGTCGAATTACCCAGGTAAAATCATAAGGTAATTATCTAGTCTTGTCGACAAAAAGCACCAGAATTCGGAATGTACAGTGGTCGGAATATACAGTGTTTTATTCTATATATATTATAAAGAAATTTTTGGGAATAAAATATTTAAGTTTTAATGGTCGGAAAGTCCAGTGTGCTGGATTGCACAGTTGTCGGATTGGACAGTGGACACTGTAACATCATAACTGATTGTCGGGATGCACTCTTCAACTTGAAAATTAAGGAATTAAAGAAAAGGCGTCAATTTTTTTCAATGAACAAAAAATCAGAACAAAAGAAACTAAGAATCAGAACAAAAGAAATATCAGTGGATAAGGCCACAATTAAAAAATTGTTGGTTTGGCATTGCCGATTGAGTCTTTAAACACTTGGGTCAGTAGGTAGGGAAAATATTTTTTTTTTTTTTTTTTGCTGATACAAAAATTAATGCTATTAAATCAATTGTGTTGTATTATTGCATTTTGTTATACAAATTAACAACTATGTCAAAACAGATATGAAATTTCACACGTCATACAGATTTCTAATACAGTTTCAGGTCTTGAGTGACAATTATGAAGCAAGAACTTCTGCTTTCTGCTTTCTGAGCAGGAAAGGGCATATACAAAACAAATCAAACAACACTAACAAATAAATGCTGAAATGATACATCGTGATATGTAGGTATATTGGGTTTGGATAATACACAGACATTATGATACGATACATCTCTCAAAACAATTTTATGATTCAATACATGAATCTAGACATTATTTAAGTTATAAAATTTTAATAAAATTACTTTCTTATTAATTTTTTTCTAAGGATAAATTAACCATAAATGTACAAACAAACAAACAAAAAAAAAATCAAAAATCAAATCACTTGAATTGAAATTTACAGCAAGGTATTGCTGTAAAAATTATCATTAATATATTTGTCTAGGGAGGAATTGATGGGAATTGCTTTAATTTGTTTTTAAAAATTTCAAAATGATTTATAAATCATGATTGTCAAATGTCAATAAATAACACAATAAAGTAGATTCATCATTTAGTGTAATGGCTAAGCATTCAGATTTGTTGTGTTTCTCATATATATACTGAAACTTTGAATGACACAGTTTATAAACAAGCTGTCTTCTCTGTAGTAGCGGCACTAGTGAAGAATCCAACATGTTTCAAAACTTGTAAGAATGGCCTGATTTGAATGTGTAAGATACAGTTGCAATGCCAACCATGCCAACATTTGGCATTTGTTTATTTTTTAGTTATTTATGAACCAGCAATAATTAGGGCTGCACCAAATATATTGATACATATCTAGATTAATGAATATATCGTATCCAAAAAATAACTTAATTCCAATACATTTTGGGCAGGCAGTTTTTTTATGTAATTCTGTGAAAAAGTTGGGAATTTCAATCACCAAAGATTATATTTAACTGTTTTGAATTAAAACTGATCAAAAATGATATAATCGTTAAGGAGGTAGCACATCTTAGATGATTATTACAAAATCATAAAAATACATAGACAACTTTACTTAGCATGTTGATTTTACAGTCAAGAAAAGTTTGAATTTGAAGTGTAATTTTTAAAGACAGTGAGACAAAAATTAAAAATGAGTTGCAAAACAATTATTATTTTTATAAAATTCATGCATAATAATTTATAAGACTTTTTTGACAGAATTGTTAAAGAATCCAATATATTGCATATCGCATTAAAAAATGTCTTCTTCTTTTTTTTTGCTCAATACACAGCCCTAGCAAAAATGATATACAACAAGGACTTTGATTGGATTATTAAGGCCAACATTTTTTTTATTTTCTGTTTTACGGGAATTTTTTTCAAAAATTTGAGTCGGGGGGTCGAAATAAAAATAAAAATAAAAGCTCGGAATTTAAGCAGTCGGTCAGAAAAATAAAAATAAAATGAAAAAATGCAATAAAATTTTTTATTTTTAATTAAGGTTGGAATTTTATTTGTATGACCTTAATTTGTTAGAAAAACAGTGCTATTTGAAAAACTTATGTACACAAAACACAGAATTGGTACTGTTAATGGATCAATGAACTATTTTAAATTTAACTTTCTCTTAGATATTTGGAGCAGGGGTGCATTTCTAGTATAAAGCTTGCAGTTTCTAACATTAATGCAAATCAAACATACAAATCTATAGTCTTCTCTCAAATGTCAAATATCATATTGTCACCACAGTAAACCTATAGGACTTCTGTCACACCCTTCATAAACTTTTCAGAATCTTTTATTTTTCGGTATTCAGCAAATTACAAGATCTGAGGATTTTGGACTAGTTCTGGCAAAGTTATGTAGAAAATACAGTGAGACATTCAATGGATCAGCTAAAATAAATTAATTCACAGAAGTGCACATGAGACATGAAAAAAAGAAAAGTTGTATAATATTTTTTTTTTCAACGCACTTCCAATTAATATATACGTAGGTTGAAAAAACGTACCACAATATCTCTATTGAAAACATATTCAAACTTCCTCAATCTGTAGTATATATATCTTTTTATCCTTATGTTTTCTTTCTGAGCATGCTAACTTTCAATATAATTGTAGAAAATACACATCTTTCCCATAGTATACACATGTAAAATACACATGACAATATTCTGTTTACTGCAGAATTTAAAAATTTAATTGTTGAAAATGGTTCTAATCCACAACTGTTGAATGAAAAAAGAAACCAGGTCTTGAATTGAAATAATATTTGTAAGGGCGTATCATTTACAACAATACTTTTCCCTAGTGGTAAAAAAAAAGTTGTTTTACTAAACAAGAGCTATACATATACACTACATCAGCTGATATGAATACGCTGAACAATCAATGTACATTAATTTGTTACATAGCACGCAAAATTCCATAAAGCAATAAAAAAGGAGATAATGTCTTGTATCAATCAAGCATCAAGCATATATACTGATATATCTTCGTAGGTAATTCTGAATTCCAATATTTGTCATAAAACGAGTGAAAGTTGTGACTCGAATTTCCTCAGTCACGCCACTTTCTACCAGTTCTACATAGTTCTAGTGTTCTGTCGTTACTTGTAAAAGAAAACATTTCTGTCTTAAAATTAAGTTTAAAAAATCTTCAAGACGTATTTCAATGTATTGAAGCAATTGTCAAAGATAATACGTACTCAGAACCTTTCAAAACAAGCGGTTGACAGAACCTCGATTTCCACGTGGCCCTCCGCATGACATTTGATCAAGATCACTGATTCGTCTATTTCATTCAATCTTTCATTAAAATTTATACTTTTTCTAATATATAACATTGACACGTCACTTTTTAAACTGACTATTTAAAAACACGTGAAACCCTCCGATTCTGACATTTTGGCGCTATGCTGTGCAGTGACTCTTCACGCAACGAATACTGTGATTGGATGAATCTATTTACCTCAGCCAATGACAAATCGCATTTTGAAAGGCTTGTAAAAAGGTTATTTATATTTCTTTTATTTTTTCAGAGACTATAAATAAACTATCGGCGGGAGAAATAAAAATAAAACTTGAATTGGGGACTTTTATTTTTATTTCATTTTAGCCCAAATTAGGGTCGGCGCTCCCGTAAAACAGAATATAAAAAAAAGTTGGCCTAACATTCATTCAATTGATCATAATTATTAACTGTTATTGCACTTTCATTTTCAAAATGTTGTTAGGTATGTTGTTTGTTCATTCTTTTGCATTGATATTATAATTTATAAAAGAGTATTTTAGCAGAAAAAAATTATCAATTTACCTTTCTTGGAATAAAGACATGTTGACCCTTGAGCTGAGATTTTCTCTCTTTCCATAGATGTGTTACACTGGGGTCCACATGATTCTAGCAGAGACCCTGTAAAAAAGGACTTAATTATGGAAAAGCATGACGAATATATGCCTATTATACATATCTTAAATTCTAATAAAAACAATGTTTTTTAATTAAGATCCATATATTTCTAATGATTGACATAATACAAATTCAAAATAAAATATGCATGTCTATATTATACCTTAAGCAGACCAATTGCATTAATACATCCTTCAGGAGACCAACTTAATCAATATTTGAGAAATATTTGTGAAAACAATAAATTTGTCTACTTTACAGTACTAAATGTACATGGAATCTATTGGATCATGTTACTTTAATTGACCTGCCTTAGTTCAACACAGTAATCTAACAAAGAAATTGAGCCAAAACAACATTTTAAGACTTTTTGAACAGTGCATGTTCCTATCATTTCAAAACCATTACCAGTAAAAAGCTAATATAGGAAAATGATGACAATTAATTAATATTGTACTTTCAGGTATATTAAATGAATCAATCTGATTCGTCAAGAAACATTTGTTAAAAAGCACTATTACCCACTGAATAATGAAGCCACGCCCTCCAGTGTCGCAACAGTCAACATTGCTTGACGACGGGTGATATTCCAAAAAATAGTGACTGCGCAGATTTATGCGCTCAAGGTTCACTATTATTTGTATTTGTATAAAACATTCAGTATAATATAATAAATGTTGCATGTAGTTGAGTGTAACATTGAAAATTTTCACCCCTTGAAAACCAAATACGTCAAAAAGGGGATAGGTTTCTTTTCCAACTTCTATATAGTTTCGCCCCTGCAAAAACTGGTATAGACCTAGGAAATGTTTAAACGGGCTAAGAGAAATCAAATGCATTGAGAGTACTTTAATTGTTTTTACCCAAGTTACATGCCAAAAAAGATTCAGAAAGACGTCACATAAAGTTAACGTTGATTTGAACTGAAGTTAGGGTGTCAAAAGTCATTCACGTCCAAAAGTGACATTGATCATGTGTGGTAGATAATAAACTCCTACGAGCAAAATATGCTGGCATAATCAAGTGAGGATCTTTCCCTAATCCTATATATAAATCCATTTAATACAATATTATATGCACTTAAGCAGCTGTTTATGACATTGTAAAATTATATAAACAAGACCAGTTTATATAATTTATAACAAGACCGGTTTATACAATTTATATACCAGGGTAATTAATAATATAATTTATATAATTTTATCAAGATAAGTGTATGGGGTAGAGGGAGCAGACATTGAGAAACAATGTTGTCGGACCTCATGAAACTAAACTAACAGTCTTCCAAATAACCCGGGAGTCCAATGCCAGGGACCTGTTAAATTTGCAGCTGGGCATGTAAAAATTGTCAAATTACATGTCCGAAGAGGGCATATGTGAATCTTCTTTCATTGTACGATCTTTACTTGCCATTTATTCTGTCCTACCCCCATTATTCCCGTAAACGTTGCTATATGTAATGTCTTAGATGGCTTGCCTGTCTACATTCTCGATACGACCTGTCAAATGATTGTCAATCTAATCATTGAAGTGTTTAGTTTAACCTATTTGTTTTCTCGAAGTTTCTTGCTAAATTACGAGACGTTCATCGATGCCACATACTGTGGCACTACAGTCATGATCCCATTTCTGAAATTCAGTTCAGCTAAACCTGCCAACAAATGACCAGCATGCAACTCAAAAGTTATTAATGAACAAAAACGCTTTAGAAAATGGCAAAATGGTACAGTCACGGAGAAATACAATGCTGAAAAAATTAATATAAAACCTTTATACCTAATGTTTTTTTTTTTTTTTTTTTTTGTAGCACAATACTGGTAAGTGTAAGAATTTTGAGTAGGGCATGTACAAATTTGAATGCGCTGGGTAAAAATGATAGGTCTACATGCCCGAAGGGCATGTGCTGAAAAAGAATTGTTGTGAAGACTGAACTAAAGTGACAGCGCCGGGTGATCATATAAAGTCCCTTTTATTACATAATAATTTGGCAAATTATCAACATATCACGCTAAAATTTCCAACATATCTTAACGGTGAGAATTTTTATTTTTTAAGTTGAAACCCTGTGACCTGTGAAAAAAATGAAATTTGTATCATCTAAAGTCTTAAGATGTATCAAGGTAATTTTCAAAACAAATTTGCGGTTGGGGTTATAAATGAAGGATAAAACCAGAGACCTCGGAATGGAATACTTGGAAGTCTCTGGTTTTATTCTACCCCAACTGGAAGTTGTATCCCATCTAAAGTCTTAAATTTAACAATGTATCGAGGTAATTTTCGAGGAATAAATGAGTGCTCTACAATAAAGAGTCTCGACCAGAGACGTCTGAAACGATTTATTTGACAAGAAAAAAGTCTCATGAAGCGAACAATGTCATTTTAAAGTAGGTTAATGATTGATATATGAACAAAATACGAGCTTGAAGCAGGGTGCCTAAAATTGAGTTAGATACCTTGTGGTAAAAATAAGTAGGGGTGCACCGTATATGAAACAAGTGCCTGTGATTGATAGTCTGAAATTTCTCTTCACCTAAATATTAAAAGCTTGCAGTGATCGCTATAAATCTATACAACAGTCAAGTTACATATGGTAAACTAACATAAAAACAAGATTACAACAGTCATGATTACAGAAGGTATATTTTGTCAGTAGGTGAATGTAAACAGGTAAACACACGTGGGACAGTCACCGCAAATAAATGAACCACAAAACGACTTATAACATTAAAATGTAAATATTCATCTGCACACAGAGTTTTGCATAATAATTTAAAAAAAATGTAAATTAAAATATAAAATAAACAAACCTCAAACCTTGTAACAAGGCTTGTTTCCCTGCATTCTTATATCTGGTTCTCTGTCACTGAAAATGCAGGGAACCCAGGGTGCGTTATTAACTCGTACACAGATTTGTTGATACGAATAAACCTATAAACATATATATACGAAATACAATATTATCTTAAAAAATGAAGAATTTCAAATTGCTTGAAAAATTATCTTTATGTAGTTTATAATAAATGGTTGTAATTGTATATTAATTTCTATCTATCCATTAAAATTTGATATTTATATCAGCTTATGTATCCGTCTGAACAATTATTGTTTTTACACTCCCTGTCACATCTTCATAGTTAAGCCTGTAAGCATGGTAAGTAGGAATCAATTTCAGTTGAAGGGGACCAAAACCAAACATTTTTTAGTTTCATTTGGTGGGGGGGGGGGTATAAACCCCAAATGATCATTTTATCTCCGTCACTGAACTGCTGAAAATAATGAAGGGAACTAGGCTGCGATAATGATTTGTAAAGAATTTCCAATTGCTTGGAAAAAAAAAGCTTTTCGTGTATGTGGTTTACAATAATGGTTGTACTTGTATATTTTCTATATATCCATTAAAATTTCATAGTATCAGTATTTCACTATTTGTAAACATTAACTGTTACAATAATATTAAATAAATGTTACACTCACTGTGTAACATTTAGTTACTGTCACATCTTCATAATTAAACGAGAATATTCCCTTCCGTAAATATTGCTATATATCTGAACTGTTACCAATTAATCTTTCTTTGGTGAAAGAAAACCTCAGGGATGGAGAATAGGCCCGTACGTAATTTAGTTGGAGGGGGGGGGGGGTGAGCACAACCAAACAACATTTTTCAGTTTCAGGTTGGGGGAGGCTACAAACTAAAAATTTCTTAATAAGCAAAAGAAAAATACATTACCAGAGGTTATTATTTAGGGGGGCCAAAAGCAAAAGTAAAAAATAGATCATCAGAGGTTATTATTGAGGGGGTCCAAACATAAAGGAGCAATGTTTTCTATAGTATACCTAAATTTCATTTCGTACGTTCCTTCAGCCATGTATTGTATCAAATCTGCTTCACCCTTTTTTTACTGCATATGTATTTTAACAGCAGAGGACCACATTATATTAATAAATAATTATTAAATTACAGCTATTTTTTTCTTACAGGGTCTGTTTCATTTATACTATATCATGATGATCATGTCCTGCATGATGTTTACAGAAAGTTTAATTTAAATTTTTTAAGCTCGACATAGCTGCGTCAACTTGCGAGACTATTTTTTTCTACGTTCGGCCTAATCTTTAAATATTTTCTGCAATTTGTTTGTGGACTTGCATAAAAGAATTAAAAATATAGGGGCCTATCATTTAACTTTATTTCGAATTTCCTTCAGGATTTTATATACCGAACTATAGTCTAATGATTATTTAAAATCATACTTTTTCTCTTAAAAGCTAAATTACTAGGCAAAAAAACAAAACAAAAACAAAAACAAAAAAAAAAAAACACGAATGTTTGTCTTGCGTATTCTTAATTACAACTTATTACTGTATCATTTTAGTTACTTACCCAAATTTCTCAACATTCATGGTGTTCAGAGGTCATTTTCTGAAAACTGAAGAGGCATTCCGATGGCATTCGGAACAAATGACGGAAAGCACTTGCTAAGAATTCAAAACATGGTCCATAAATTTACAATATTTTTCCTTTTTAGGTTTTTAACATAAAAAGTGGAAAACTAAGTTAAAGAAACACTCATTTGAACATATCAAAAGCGGAAAATATATATATGCTAGATTTTTTGTTTAATTGCATGTTTTTTATGGTCTCCAAAATGCAGAAAAATTATCCTTTGAAATTATAAGTAGGTTATACATTCTTTTCTTTTTTAGGGAAGATGATAGGAATTAGACAACTTTTGAATGTTAAATAACAGAGTTAAAGATTAATAATATTTAATGGCAGACTGTTTATTTATCTATAAAAAGACATTTGCAATACTGATGAGGTCAAAATAATAGGGAGACCGAAAAAGGTCGCCTTAATCCAGTGGTCTCCCTAAGCCAGAAAATATATCCTCCTTGGTCTCCTAAAGCCATATGTCATATATATATATATATATATATATATATATATATATATATATATATATATATATATATATATATATATATATATATATATATATATATATATATATATATATATATCACTTTTAAATTTACGTGATTAAGAAATCCAATTAAAACTTGTCGTATACTTGCAGTGTAAGGGCGTATTATGTTTTTAGAATTTGTGCACACTCCCATTTTACTTATAAATAACAAAAATGTGTTGAAATTAAATCAGATTTGTAGGATTGATACACATGCATTTGTATACATGTATTTTACCTTAACTGAGTGATATGACAAAGAACTTTATGTATACGTGTATACTGAATTATCGAATCTTTCAGACAACCTGTTTAACATCAATGTTACTGCACGTTTAAGAAGCAACTAATTAATTGACAAACATTAATATATTTGAAAGGTACATGATCGTACTCTGCATTTTAGGGGGAAAACACATCATCAAGAGTTGAAACATCTCATTAAAAAAAAAATGAAAATGATATATTCTTAAGAAATAATCATTCTCAGAAATCACAACAAATGCAAATTCTGGATTTTTTTTTTTTACGACGGAGGGTGTCAGTCAGTCATTAAGGAATTTTAAAAAGTCAATATTTTATTTCAAAGAAGAATGGGGACAGTAGCAGACAAATATTCTTCTAAATATTATAGGTTTAGTCTTATATATCTTTTATCCTACCAAAGGTTTTCTCTTTCATATTAAAACTTATTGCCTCCTTGACCATACTTTATGCCCCTACTGCTGTTTCCAGATGTAAGAATTTGTTTTTATGTTTTTGAAGAATTTCAATTGCAGATAGGAGTAAACCGTCAATTAATAACACATGTATACAATTCACATCTTCCGAGCAATGTGAGTGCCGTGACAGCGTTGAAATTTTGGTGAACACCTTGTACACATTACTCAAGCAATGAGTAACCTGACAAACAAACTGTACATAGCACTGACATTGTACACTTAATTTAACTGTAGAATGACATGGCTGATATCGGTCATCGTAGTGTACTGACAAAGAAATAAACTCAGTTATTAGACTTCACGAAAGGAAAGACAACTCCTTTAAAAGAAACAAAGCTTGGCCATCAACATGCCATAATCAAAAAGTTGTTACATCCAGTATCAATAAGTAAGGTATCTCTAAATTTGGATCCCTGATGAGGTACATTACATCGCCTCAACACTCTACACCTACTACTACTAATATATTAATTATAATGCAATTTAGAAGTTGATTAAAGTCTTCGCTCCTAATATTTCATTATCAAGTCAGTCATGTTGATTGTTTTCGTTTATTGAAAACACTTTAAAAGGAATGGGGGGGGGGGGGGACTCTTTAAACTGACATATTAAGGATTGAGAATGTTCAACTGCTTCTGAGTTATGTTGCAACCCAAAATCCATCATTGAATTGATTTAATGACTGTATATTATTTATATAACTTCGCATTCGAGAATTTCTAACTCATATAATGACGTTTCCATGTACCGGTAAAGGGCTACAATTCTGGTTCTATACTCGTCACTGAGGGCCATTGAGCAGTTAGGGTTCTTTGTCCTGCCAACACCTACCAGGACCTCGGTTTTTATCGTCTAATACAAAGGACCATGCAGTGACTTTCACTTCTAGTGTCCGGTGATTAGCGAAAATCATTACATACGTTGACGCGGCGAAACAAAAATGAATCGAGCCCGAACTTTCCGATCACGAAGCAAACGCCCTACCAGTAGGCAACCATGACTGGTTTTCACCATTTGGAATAAAAAATCGTACACTTTTGACCAATTGAAACCTTCAAAACTTTTAGGCAAGTGTCTGCGGTTAACCCAGGTCGAACTCTAGGCAAATCCTCCCCCCCCCCTTCGGCCAACCCCATCCTTTGAAATGTTCTCTCAATTTCTGTTTATTTGCATTATATTTAATTAAGGAACGAATTTCTGTTCATATTACATAAATTCCAAAACAAGGAGATGGTTCAGTAACCATCTGTTGTTAATGCTGCATGGTCTTTATGTACATGTAACATACATATGCTTGACTTGCTCTGAATAACAAGTGCTTTAATTTGTTTTAACACACAACGACCTATATTCGCCACAATAGATACCTTATGTTTTCGTTTTCTCTTTTTATTTGTATAAATAATTGTTGGAGGTCTGTCGAAAAAAGTCACCGTTTAATAAATGTTTTAAATCAAGTTTTTGCTTGGTCTATGTTATATTCTAACATTTAGATACGGATATTCAAAGAGAATATAATATGGTTTTCTATAAGAAGAAATAGGTCAAATTTCTAAAAATGATTTTTAAAATATCTTGTTTCCTTATCAAGAAATCTGTTCTAAATCTTGACACTAAGAACGAACGGAATGCGATACCTTGTTTACATGAAAAGGAATTTACAAAGATCTGACATTTAGATAACCGACATTCGTGTAGAAGGATGACAGCATCACTGTCCTGCTATTTCTGTTGTGTTTTATCAGCAAAATCTTTTTTTTTGTTTCAATGCACTATAAAGAAGTTTTAGCATTCAAACACAAAAGACTCCAGACACTTGGAATTTTGCAAACCTGTCAATTTCTTTATTTAAAAGATCTATTTTGGTCTTTCTTACGAAATCAATACTACTGTTTACCAAAAGCAATAAATGCAATTGACATAACTGTTAAAATTGTCAACTCAAAATATAAACGTGTGAAATATCAACAATCTCAGAAATTTTTTATTTAAAAAGTGTACTGCTTTAAAGCATGGACTAAGAAGAATTCATAGGGATTCATGAATGTAAACAAATCTTTTTTTCTGTCCTTTCATGCAGAAAAATGCGATTTTACAGTCATCAATTATATAATGTAACATTTTCAGCTAGATTTTTTTTTTATTACATTAACTAATATCTAGTCTGTTTCTTAAGTACGCTCATGGCAATCTTAATTGACAATCAGGTCTTGATCAAAGAGGTACATCCTTGAGTTTAAATATTAAAATACAC